AAACATAAATCATCTCAAGCAACGTATCACTAACGCTATTACAAGCATAACTCCAGCTGTGCTTGAACGTGTTCTTCAGCAGTGGAGGACACATTGAAGAGGGTTTAACAGAATGGTAGTCATGAAGAGCATATTATATAAATAAAAATGGTTTATATAAAAGGTTTATTTTTTCCTATGTATGGAAATTTATGGACAACCCTGTATGTGTGTGTGTGTGTATATGTATGTATATATATATATGTATATATATATATATATATATATATATATATATATATATATATATATATATATATATATATATATATATATATATATATATATATATATATATGATCAAACTGACCTGCTTTTAGTGTCCTTGTGGCCCAGCCGGTAAGCGCCTCTAGTCACACCCAGTAGGTCGAGGGTTCGATTCTGCTGGAGGTTTGATTATATGTTCAAAGTCCGCTGTTATATGGACTAAAATGAAGTATATATATGTACTCGCTTATACCAGCTGGATTCGTAAAATGCTACTGACACCACATAAGAGGCACGGGCAGTTTCATTGAGGTTCACGGCGCCATCAGCTCGATGAACAGGCTTTGTGTGAAATATACAGAGTCTAGAACTGCTTTTAGTGTCCTTGTGGCCTAGCCGGTAAGCTGCCCTAGTCACACCCAGTAGGTCGAGGGTTCGATGCCTTGCTGGTGAGGTCATGATTTATATATATATATATATATATATATATATATATATATATATATATATATATATATATATATATATATATATATATATATATATATATATATATTTTTATATATATATATATATATATATATATATATATATATATATATATATATATATATATATAAACATACATATAGTGTTTGTTTAATGGGAAACGAACATAAATTTATGGATACTTATTTGCATGATGCTGAACAAAAAATTTTAACGAGACTGCACAGAACCTGACTTAAACAAGAAACCTACCTAACCTTACCTAACTTCCTAGCATGGGGTTCTGCCCTGACCCCTGCTATATTGAAAGTTTGGAAAGGTTAGGTAGGTTTCTTTTGTTAGAATAGTTAAGTCAGCCTTTGTTAGGTTCTGTGCATTGTTGTTTCAATTTTCGTGTTCAGATCATGCAAATAATATCTCCCAAAATTTGTCCAATTCCATATGTTATTTCTGGTGCTAACCATCTCCTCTGCCTTTACAATAGAAGAAAAGTTTCTTAAAATTGTCTAATGATTCCAAAATTTAAAATCCTAAAATTCACTGGATGACAAAACAATAATAATACCCAAAGAACTTATTTTGTTATCTGGTACTAATGAATGCAACTTTGTTGAAGCATCGTGGTAATTTTAAGTTTGTTGTAACGTGAGAATAAGCTCAGACTGAACGGTCGGCTGTAAACAAAAGTGGATCACCTGAAGAATCATCATCACCCCAGAATGTCCACCTGAAGAATCGTCACCCCAGCCCACAGTGAATATAATTTGTATAATTAGGATAACAAATATATTCCTTGTGTTATGCATCTTTATTGTGAAAAGTTTAAAGAAAAAAAAATAAGAATAATATACATACACCTAACCTAACCTAACCATGGAGGGTCCTGACCCCACCTGAAGAATTGTCACCCCAGGTGTTGCCACCTGAAGATTCATCACCCAGGATATCTCACCTGAAGAATTGTCACCCTGCCAAACTCCGGGTGACAATTCTAAGGTGATCCCAAAAGTCAACACACAGTGACTAGAGATTTTTCATAGTACAGTAAAGTCCAAAAACGGATACCAGAAACCCGGACCACCCAAGAATACGGACTTTTCGAAAACTCAAACTCTATTTTTTTTAGCTGGCTTTTGTATGTATTGTGTGCATGCGTGAGTGCCACAGCTGCACAGTGACAACAAGCAACCACGCGGTCACCACTTTAAAACGAGCAATCAAACTGTGACAACGTAAGTAATTTTGAGTCCTACTCTTTCCATTTACAGAGTACTGTACAAGCCCATAATAATGGCTCCTAAAGTAGATAAACTTCGTTGTGTGAAGAGAAAGAACATGTTGAAATTGAGTGACAAACTTGAAATAATTAAGAAACTAGAACGGTGTGAGCAATACTGATCTAATGGAAACATAGACATTGGGAAGTCTACAATTTATGATATAAAAAAGGCAAAGAATAAAATTTTAGAATTCACAGCCTTATCTTTAAAACTGCTTGTTTTGATAAATGAAGCATGCTATATTTACATGAATAAACTATCAAAATGTACCTGTTCATCTCTTCTTTATTTCTCCTGAAATTTGAATTTTAAAAGTACTGCCTCAGAACGGAAAATCGAAAATCCGGACCGACCCAATCCCAGCAGTCCGGATTTTTGACTTCTACTGTAGTATTTATGGTAAATAACCAAACAATTGGGTAAATTTCTAGTTTCTGTTACAACTACTGTTCAACCAATGAATTTTGGTTTTTTCCACAGTATTTACAGATTCATTCAAAATTGACCTCCGTTTCGTCAGAAATGAATCGTTTTTGAATTACCATCCCCATACAACCTGACCTAACCAACCAAAGAAACCTACCTAACCTTACCCAACTTCCTAGCTTCCCCACTATATTAAACAGAAGTACTTATTTCAATATTTGGTACCAATGAACGCAGCTTTGTTAAGCATCATGGTGTAATTTACGTTTTATGTGGACATGAGAATAAGCTCACTCTGAATGGGTTGGCTGTAAACCATACACGGAAACTGCAGATTTACTTTAATGCCTCACATGAATTTATCTTTCTCGGTTAACATCCATTTGCAACAGAAGTGGTATGAGCAAAAGTCGTTCCTAGTGACAAGATATAACTAATGGTAAACACAAAATTGCTCTACCAGTTGACTGGAAACTGTAATACCAAAATGTTAAATATCCTTAAATGTAATTTGCATTAAAAATGCCACAAGGAAATGTGATAAGAGATGAGTCAGATCTACCTATAGCAACTATTCATTTGCAAACTTTTGAGAGTGCACTTGTAAAATAATATACCCCAACCTTTATCACTCAACCTGTACTTGAAGCTTCCCAATGAGTTCTAGTTTATGATGGTGTCTGGTAATTGTTTCACTTATCTACAAATCCATTTCCAAACCAATATCTACCTTATTAATTTCTAAATTTAAATTTATCTAAATTAAAACCAATGCTACAAGTTTCCTCCTGACATGTTATATCTTTTTTACAGTGGATATTTTGCCCTGACCGCTAAGTTCCTACTAAATCTATTTTACCGTGAGTGCCTGATTGACTTTTGGCCAAGTACTGCCAGATAATATGATGGGGGTCCAACCCCCCACCCCCCGACTAGGAAGTTAGGTAGGTTTCTTGGTTGGTTAGGTCAGGCTTTATTAGGTTCGAGTAAATTTCTCCCTCTTTATAATGTTTCCATGCACAACAGAAACACCGCCAGTCACGATCCCATATAGTTCTCGAGTTGCTCGCCGTAACAGACGATAGCCAATCAGAGCGCACTCAAGGTAAAATAGTGACCAAATAGGTACTACAGATAGACGAATACAAACGTTAAGTATAAACTAGGTAACACGGAAATAGAAAACTCAGTTTGTGAAAAAGATCTAGGTGTATTTGTTAGCAACGACTTGAAACCTAGAAAACAATGTATTAGCGTTCGCAACAAGGCAAACAGGATTCTTGTTCATATCTAGGTCTGTGAGTAACAGAACTGCTGACGTTATCTTGAAACTTTACCTAGCATTAGTGAGGCCACACATGGATTATGCGTTCAGTTCTGGTGTCCTTATTATAGAATGGACATAGATTCTTTGGAGAGAGTACAAAGAAGAATGACAAAAATGATCCATAATATTAAACCTTCCATATGAAGAAAGACTGAAAAGCTTAGGCTTACATTCATTAGAGTGAGAGTTAGGGGAGATATGATAGAGGTGTACAAGTGGGTAAGTGGGATTAACAAGGGTAAAATGGAAGATGTTCTGAAGCTCAGTAATAACGAAATAACTAGAACAAATGGCTTTAAATTAGATTAATTCCGATTCAGAAAGGATATAGGCAAGCACTGGTTTGGTAATAGAGTTGTGGATATGTGAATAGGCTACCGAGTGCTATAGTAGGATCGGGACTAGGGAGCTTCAAGACGAAGTTGGATAGGCTGGAAGTGCTGGGATGGGTGTGAAAGGATCTGCCCTGTATGGGCCAGTCGGCCTCCTGCATCCCACTTTCTTATGTTCTTATGTTCTTAACTGGTCATGGCAAAATATCCACTGCCTTTTTTAACCCTCTCATTCTTACACCAATACCTATCTTGCCAGAAAAATATTTATTCATTAAAATTATCATACAAGCTCATTGGTTCAGAATGACCAAAAAACAGTAGATATATATATGCACTGGTACGATTTAAGTCAATATACCAAGGACAACCCATGAAAGGCGCTATAAACTGATTTACACCAGAGGTACTTGAGAACCAGTCACCCTCCTGATACTTTAACCAGGTCAATGAACAACCAGGTAGATTCTATGTCTGTGAGAGAGGTAGAGGAGAGAGAAGGAGGGAGGTTGAAGAAATTTGAGGCGAGCGTGTGTGAGGGCGGCACAGGAAGCACACCACGCGGGGCCGCCATTATACCACACCGGCTTCGTGTTTACAGGCCAGTGACGTCACTCCTTCCTTACAATATAACTCACTCACCACCACTCTACCTTTACAACGTCACAAGTAGTACTGGACCATATCTCCTAAGTTATACCATCTATTTACACCAGATACTCAAACCCTCAAGATATAACTCGAAAATCGATAAATTCCGCCACAGCGTCCAACTTCGTCTCGGTGAAGTTGGACCATAACATACTTAACAAACATCCTACCTCCTACTGCCTCTCTCTGAATTATTTACTGCACATACCCTCACAAAATTGTTGGAGACGACAAATTTATAATAAATACCTGTCTGGCACGCTGAACTGCGTCGGCAAAAGCGGAACTTTGGGCAAAATTACTTGTATTAGGTCCTGCTGCTGCTGCCATCATGGCCGACGGCGCTTGCCTGTAACTACTGTGAGTAAATCCCGAGTGTTTTGAAGAGCGAACACTTCTCACCTTTATTATTTTCTCTCAATAATTCTGAATAAAAGTTCTCATTTTGTATAGTAACTTGTTGAATAGCTAGTTTCCTAACTATATTTTTCTTTTAAGTATGTCTACAAAGAAATAAACTCACATATTACTTGATAATAAGATGTTCCAATACAATTTCTATTTGAAAAGAAAACGAAAAAAACATAACGTTAACTATAAAAGAATATTGTAATATATATCTTGTTAGATTGGATGAGATTACATTGCATACAAAATTTATTAATATTAGTATAGCAAATAGATATTACAGACATACAAACGATGCAGGTATACACTGGTAAGCAATAAATAGACTACACTAGGAATAGCTTATTATGTATCTGCATTGTCTGACTATATACATGAAAACTGATTGTAAGCGTGTATGAATATTTAATTATTATTATTATTATTATAGAAGTAGTAGCAGTAGTATTGTTATAGCTCAATAAGGCCGATATAAAGTTATTTCCATTGGTAGGTAGTAGGCCGCTATCAAACAGGAGGTACTACCGCCTGGGAAGATATTGGAAGCATAATGTATTGTCTAATGGTAGACCCTGCTGAAATATGGCATCACAAAAATTGTGACCAAGTCCCAGGTTGCTGATTTGACCTTCTGCCTCATTTACACACAATTGCAGGGTCTCAAAATATTGTTTTTCTTACTTTGGCACTGGAGTCAGGAGTTAAGAGGGAAAGAAGATTATTAGGATTGAAGAAAATTGGTGAAGCTGAAATAAGTAGGAGTAGAAAGAATCTGAGCTCAACCAGATCGCTTTATCTTATTTATTGATTTTTATATCTTTGTTTTGCTCCCTCGGGTCGTCAGACCTTTGTATTAGTATTGGTTTACTATGTCGTGCTGCTGATTATACTTCTTACTTCTTTTTCTTTTTTTTTTTTTTTTTTTTTGCTAATGTGTTAGTTATATGTAAGTTGTGTTAGTCTTAAAGTACACTGTATGGAGAGGCCTGCCAGGTTCTCAGTGGAGCTGGTAGGCTCTCATCTTTTATTCTCTCTATTAATGTTTTATGCGTATATTGGGGCAGGAGATGGTTCAATTACTTTCTCTGATTGATATAAATCAGCCATATTCTTGGATTTCTTCATTATCAATATTATTTATCCAGTTTTGTAAGTTTCTGTTAAGTTCAGTCACTTTGTTCCAAATATTTACAGCTTTGTTGTGTATATCTACATTGATTGCTAGGAGGTTGCCTCTTGTGTAGCTGTTCAGTATTGATGTGGTCTGTATATTTTATGTTATAAATAAATCAGAGGGCTATATTTTGTACTGTTTGTAACCTTTAATGCTTGTTTTACTAAGGATGTTCAATGGGATGGGTTGTAGTCCATAATTGCTTTGACAAGAGTTATATAAATCTTTCATTTGTTATTTATGCGAAAGTTCTTAATTCGTTTCATTTTTTATAGTCTTATTCTTTCCTGTCATTCTTTATCTTTTATGCAAGTTATATATCCTCTTTGACAACACAACATACACACTGTATATCGTTACTACTATTGATTTTATTTTTATTTTGTATTTATTTATGGTCCTTTATTATTATTATTATTATTATTATTATTATTATTATTATTATTATTATTATTATTATTATTATTATTATTATTATTATTATTATTATTATTACTACTATTGTGAAATGTGGTATAATGTTGTCCAGCACCAGGATGGATGGAAACTCAAGGTGGTTTTCTTGTATAATATAAGTTATATGATAGACAGTCTGGTGCTGGAGGTGC